TTTTTAAATCCTTAATTGTTGAATTTGTATTCTTTTAAATTGTCTTTTTCGAGGGTATCTTCCTTAAAAATCCTTTAATCTCAGTGACCCACACGCTCATCAGCTCTATCCTATTGGTGTCCATCCACACACGCCTGTCTAGCCTACTGTTACCTCAGTCAGTTTAATAAGCACTATTAAAACGCAAAGACGTTGCTATTTACATGGGTTCAAATCCCAGCTTGGGTCTTCTGAAACAGCAATATTCGGAGTTGGTTTTTGTATGTGCATTCCTCTCAACTTATAGATAAAGACTGGGTGGTTGGCGGGTGCCCTGGTGTGGTTTGCTTCTTTTTTCCTACCAAAGATCTTCTATCGTCTTTATCTCCCCGAATTCTTTTTTTTTTTTGCGTTTGTTACTCTCTTGTAACACCTCAAATCTTCGGCACTTATATGACCTTATTGTGTTGCAAGTGCCGAAAAACACTCACAAAAACAAAACAAAAAACAAAACAAAAAATAGATAAAGAACTTTACCTAGTGAGCTCCACGTCTCAATTAACTTTCGAGTGTTGCAAAGTGGTTAAATCTCAAATGTAGAATCAACCGATCTATATTTGGTCGCTTTTAAGGACAAGCGGGCTAACCCAGATTTCGGGGGTTTCCAGAAATCTTGACCTACATCAAACGTGGGCAATGCCCTACCTATAGGACAAGTTTGGTTTCACAGGTGTGTATAGTTGTTGCTGGTTATATAGAAAACTCTCCTTGTGTTTTAAAGAAATGAACAAGGGTCCAAAAACTTTACCTTTGATTTTCTCAAAAGAGCATTTTTCGGGAATAGCCCCCTTGTGCTTAAAAGCGACCATTTATAATCTCCTGTCTCCGATGTGGCATTTAGTGTTGTGAGTAATAATTGTTGAAAGAGCCCTTATAACCACTGAACTTACAATAATAATAATAATAATAATAATAATAGTAATAATAATAATAATAATAATTGCATTTATGTAGCGCATATCCATGCTCAAGAGCTTGCTCTATGCGCTTTACAACTATTATTACACCAGCAGACCCTCTGAGAACACTCAGAAACATTTTCAGCTTCCGCGGAAGCATACAGTGCAAGCTGCGGATTTCACGCGCTCAAACACTATCAAACCGACAAGATCTTTGACTGTCTATAGCTGGGTACCCATTTCCACCTGGGTGAAGTGAGGAAAATTTGTGCAAAATGCCTTTCCCAATGACACAACGTCGGGTCCCTGACGGGATTCGAACCCACGACCTTACGGTTGCGAGTCCGAGAGCCTAACCACTAGGCCACCGACGCCACAACTTAAAACTCCCAAAGTCGTGGTGAATAGGGGCGTTTTGTTTGCTTTTTTAAGTTTTCTTTTCTTATTGGCAATCTTTTTTCCCCGTTTTTTCAACCCCCTTTCTGTTCCTTTTCTTTCTTTCTTTCTTTCTTTCTTTTCTTCGTTCTTTCTTTCTGTCTGTCTGTCTGTCTGTCTGTCTGTCTGTCTGTCTGTCTGTCTGTCAGTCTATCTTTCTTTCTTTCTTTCTTTCTTTCTTTCTTTCTTTCTTTCTTTCTTTCTTTCTTTCTTTCTTTCTTTCCTTCTTTCTTTCTTTCTGTCTGTCTTCCTTCCCTTTCTTTTCGGTTCCCTAATCCCTTTTCGCTACCTTTTACAACTTCGTTTCCCGATTACATTCATTCCCAAAAGCTTTATAAAATAATATTTCATTCAGAAATCCTCTC